GTACTACTTAGCATATACTGTTTCTATAAAACATTAAGACAAAAATAAAATAGTAATAATTTCTAAATAACTAATTGCGAGGTACATTTTATGATTACTTATTATCATTTCTCATTAAGAAATTATGAACAGGAATACGAAATATTGACAATTCAAAATTATAAAAATTTAATTTTATATTAATTTGGATTTTGGAAGGATCCTAAATATTTTGACAAAATGAATAAATATATCTACCGGGATCGGCTACATAATCTGTTCAGCTTTTTTGAAAGGGGGAAATGAATTTTTGACTATTCTCAGAACCATATTATGTATATATATATACATTCATTGCTTTATCATATATTTTATTCGACAAAAATAAGCCAAAGGGGGTATATGACACCCTCATCCAACGTGCTGGATAGTCGAATAGCACTTATTACCTAAAAAGAAATGGTCTAATTATTGCACTTAGGTTTAAAAGGTTAAAGTCGAACTGTATTCGGGTAAAAAGCAGGAGTAGTGGTCGAACTGCATTAGTTCAAAAAAAAAGAGTTAAAATTATAAAAATCTTATAGGTACTATAATGACTTTATTTCAACTATCCCAGAAAATTGCACGTTGTTCAAGAATTTAGTGACTAATTTAGTTGATATAGTTATATTTCGAACGATGGACTTTTATACATTTGTATTAATTGATGTTTTAACACAATTTCAAATAGATACTTATATTTTAAGCAGAATACTGATACAAGACTCTCAACTACACAGTACTAGAAAAACATAAATTATATTGAAAAATATATTAAATTATATACTCAAAAGCGTATTACCAGGTTAGAGTTCTTGAATGCAATTTGTTATCACTACAAAAAAATGATAAAAATAAAAAAAAATTATAATATTTGACGATTTAAAAAAAGAATTTAAAAAATCGGGAAAATGGATGTCGCTCTGCTGTACATTAGGTGTCTAGGAAGGCACTGTAATGGATGGTACTAAATTTTAATTCAATGATATGATATAATTGTATATGAAAAACGATTCTGAGCGGAGACGGTATGTCAGACTAGGATATTTTATATTATTATTACTTATTATTAATATGGTAGCCGGTAAGTTGAATTAATATTATTCTGAAATTATCAATGATGCTGGAAAAATATTAAATATACTTTTGTAAAATTGAGCTATTTTGGAACCGAATGACAACAAAATGACAAACGTTATTCTCCGTGTTAATATGTAATTAGGTCCACATTTTAACTTAAAATGTCTGTAAAAAATAACTGTCTTTATATATTTTTAAGATTTTTTAGTTACGGAAAAAACTGCTAAGTAGAACTTTGTTTTAAATATTTTAATCCTTTCCTTTGAAAATTAAAAATGTTATAAATTGTTAACTACAAAATCATTCCCAATTTTCAATTTGATAAATATTGTCAAAATTTGAACTTTAAATGCTTATAAAAAAAAATTGTGAATATGTATTTTTAAAAATTTTCAACTGCTATTGTAGCAATATATCAAGAGTCTTGTATTAAATCGTCATGCTTTTTTTACCCAACCATGAAAATTGTATTGACTTTCATAGATAAAAAAAAAAAAAAAAAATTGAAAATGAAAATGTTCATGTAGCTTAAAACGAGTCAAAATATTTTGAAAATTTTATCAAGTATATATGAATTGATAAAATATACATACAAGTGTCTATAGTAATTCGTTTTTGAATTATAAGAAAATAAGAAAATTGCTACAAGAGAAATTGAGTGAATATCCAATATTGTAAAAATTTTAACTTCAAACGCTCATAAAACTTTAATTTGAATTTCCGGTTGATTTTTTTTTTTTTTGATAAAGATAGACAGACGTAGAAAGAAACTTTTATTATATTTTCAAATCTTAAGTATAAAAAGGAACATTTTCATGAATTTCTAACAAAATACAATTTGCTAATTTTCGTGATTTTTATGAATTTTGTTAAAATTCTATGTTTAAACGCTCATAAAAAAATATTGTGGATTTAAGCTCATTTTTTTTTAATTTCCATTAACAACAACTTATGAGGAACCTTGTATTACATTTACAAATTATTTGACCAAGTTACAATTTTTTTATCGGCTTTAGTTTAAAAAAATAAATAATAAACGAAAATTGTATAGGTATGCCTATAAATAGTTCAACACAAGTTAAAATATTTTGATACAATTTTATGGTGTATAGAAAATGCGAACACAAATATTTAGTGAAAATTTCATCCATCTAAGGTCATTTTTTTAGAGTTACACTAAAAACCAAAACTGATTTTGAATAAAAATTCCTGTTTTTCCTGTTGCTTTTGAAAACTGTTCGGAATTAATATTGTGACCTCCTAAATGCACCAACTAGATTCACTTTCCTACCAGAAAAGTTGCTGTTCAAGAAAATCTAAGCACTTTTATTGCCCGAAACCGTAATAACTGACCAAAAAAAAATAAATAAATAAATAAGTATAAAAACACACATCATTGACTCATTGATTAAAATCTTTGTCAGTCCTAAGCCTGTAAGTAGGAAGGAAAATGAGTGTTTTCTAAACGTTTAACCTCTTCAAATGCATGATATTTTTATTGGAATACCTTTTATGAGCCCAAGTGCAGTTCGACTAAAATAAGTACAATTCGACCATACGCCCTCCCCCTTCGTGAGCACGCACCTCAGCAGTAGATTATTCACAGAGGCAATCGAGAACAAGATACTGAGTCCCATAAAGGGGCGCAGGTGTTTAATGTTCAAAACACAATTCTAATATGTACTACTACTGTCTACTGAGCAGCAAATATGAAACATGCTAAGGACCTTAGATCATATAGTATAATAATAATAATAGTTGTATATTTATTTTATGAATATGTGATCTAAGCTAAGGACCGAAAACTTGTCCCACTATAGCTTACGGCAATGGCGATATATATAAAAAAAGTCCAAAAATAATGTGGCCGGCAGTATTTTAGCTGATAAATATTTAGTCTAAAATTGTCCCAACATGTATTTTGGCTGAAACTCAGTGGCGTAGCTAGGGAAGGGAACTTTTATATGACCATGCAAGTTACTGTGCAAATACAAATGTGTATACTAGCTCATACAGAAACTGGAACCTAAAATAAAACCTCGACATCAGGATGATAATAACTTATGGGAAACCCACCTATAGTTGAACCAACTCTGTATAAACGAATTATCAGCCCCCAACCTACCAAAAAAAACCGAAAAAATCCTGGCTACACCACTGTCGAAACGTCTTTTGATATCATCTAAACTGCAAGCTAAAATACATGCCCAATAAAAATGTTCTGCTACCATGCAGGTAGGACACAAAATTTTCGGATTTTTTATACGCTCCCGCTATAATTAGCAAAATAAAATTTCGTAAGTGTGAAACTTGTTATTAACTTTGGATGTTCCAAGACATACATATAAAGAAATATGCATTTGCTAGAACTGTCAAGCCTTGCAAGTTGCAGGTATTAGTTATTAAGGTTCATAAGTCAAATACTGTATAGGTACTTTGATTATTACTAGATATTAATATGGTATGCATAGATTACATATAATATTGCGATAATTAGCCATAAGCATATTATAAGAATATAAAAAACTAAAAAAAGGTTGACCTTTAGCTTCCTAGCAATACTACACAAATGTACAATACAATATTATAAGAACATTACAACAATAACGTTTTTGATTTCTCGATTTATTGTATTGATTTCAACTTTCAAATTTTTCAATAAATTTAATTACTTGTACATACTATAACTTTCAACAGCATACTAATAATTTTTTTGTGTAATAAAATAATTTAGAATTGTTTTAATTTATACATGCTACAAATCATATTAGTATTTAGTATAATATATTTTTGTAAATATTTTAATAAAGAGAAATATATAATCTGTTTAATAGAAAACACTATGTAAATTTGATAAATAATGAATATAAATGACACGTGTAACACGTAACGGGTAAAGGCCCATTAGCAACACCCTCAATATAATTCATGGGCACTATTTGAACATTTATAGATCATATGCTTTTATATTTATGTATCCACGGTTATATAGTTATGGATAAGCTATTCACTTATTACACAATAATATACATCAATAGATCCATTGATTAAATATAAGTACTTATAGTATACTTAAATATACACAACGGTTCTTAAGTGTACTAAAATAAAAATAAAAATATTTAAGTATATTGTTTTAGTTAAAATATTATGTGTATTACTTTAAACAGTTTTATGTTGATCAGTCTCTTAAGCATGATCTCTGCAGAAAACATCGTGATCGTTCTAATTAAAATGTTTGTGCTAAAATTATATTAAAATCGTCTTGTACAGGAATGAATCGATTCGGACGACTTATAACTGTGACTACGCAACCGTTCCGGTGCACGAATACTGAAATATCCAAACGTCTGTTAGTGTTAAACAAACTTTCCGAGTCCGCGCGGATAATCTTTTTTTATTCAGGTACTAATTCAATAGTAACATAGAACAATAGGAGTAACTATATAGTAACAGTAGTAACACCGCGAACAAACTGATCGGCAACAATAATAGTGCGTCATGTGTATATTGACACCTGTAACCTGCTCTGGTTTATCTACGTCCTACGTGACCGACGCTTCCGCGGGCAACGAGCCCCGCTCACCTGCCACAAAGTCCCATGCGCAGACCTGCATAGTGCACAGGCGCACAGCCATTTGAATTTGAGCTATATATTATACAATATTATGTTCTATGGAAATGACACAGGCACACAGTAGTAAGTTGTAGGGGCAGCCACAGCCGCACAGCACAGGTCAACACTCAACCGTCGACGTCGGCGCAGCCATGTTACGGGACACGAGTACCTGTCCTAGTTGGCGGCAGTGCGTGGTGCCGGTAGCCGGTTGGTTAGCGTAGAAAAGAGATAGGTTCATTTAACAGCCGTGGGGTGTAGGCGACGCACGCGTGCTTACTGTTTATGTTCCATACCGCGGTAGACATGTACATAACGCACGTCCGGCGGTAATCACAGTGCCACCGACGCGCGGGATGGCGTGTTTCGGGCTGCCGGTATTGGGCGCACTGATGTCGGACTGACGCCATCGAAGAGTCGGGTTTGTGTTGATTCGTTTGTTGTTGTGTTTGGCGAAGTGGTTCCAATTTACAATTAGTTATTATTATTTATTTCTCGGTGCAAGTTAGTTTGCAGGCTTTTTCTTCACTCCATACTGAGTGAAGGATCCTAATAATAATAACATTACCGTACTCGGCAGCCCCGGAGTGTGTAATTTCTCCGTGTATTCGTCTCTGCCGTGCGCACGGTGCCCTTACTCGTTGCTCTCCGCGCGTTCGACCCGTTGTCGGAGATCAGTGGATTTCAGTTATCGGTTTTGGCTGTTATGGGCGGAACGCCAAAGAATATTCTTCACTTATCTCAAAGAGTGCCAAACAACGCTGCCCGCTACTAGACCGTGGAATACGCCAAGGTAAATAACCCTCGATAAGCCCGCCATCATTAGTCGTCCTGCACGGTATGGTCGTACTTCGACTGTCGGCGCTCGTTCGTCAGGCAGAATTGACGGTCTATCGTCTACCTTGTACGGTGGTATTGGTCATTGGTGACGTTTCAACGTGCTATGCTCTTTTCCCTACCATCCCGATTTCAAGTAGCGGTAAGAGACTATAACTACTCTTACATTCTCAGAATAATGTGCATACCAAACATTGTCTATAAACAATCCACCTTCATGAACAGTTGACTGTCGTTCTCGGTAGTTGCTATTCGAGTACCAAGACATTTGACTATGGTCCAAAATTTAAGTTCTCTCTTTGGCACTGCAATCTTGGGGAGTAGCTTTGCACTATGTGTACTACCTATTGGTTTTGGTATCCAATGTTGAGATTTTACAAATTTGTTTTGGACTTTGTAAATTCTGAATGGTTTGGAACTTGATACATAATATATCTAATATAAATATTCCATTAACTGTTATCAAATGAACTTAATAGTTGTTATTTTAAGATTGATGCCTTAAAACTATGAGGAGATATTATATTTGACAGGTGTTAATATATTATAGGAAATAATAGACCCATTAATAGACTAAATGTCTTATATATGTATAAGATACTGTAGTTTACATGCGCTTATAATAAGCTTTAATGAACATAATTTGTTGATGAACTAATATTACTAATTAGCATAATTTATAAGTACCCAATGAAAATAATTATTAAAATTAAAATGTTCGTAGAAAAAAATATAACACTTAGTATTTATAAAATTTGTTGGTGGGTGTCATTAAAATACCTAAAATAAGGCAACTAAGTATTGTGCTTATAACATGTAAGTATGGTATTCAAAAGTTATTTTTATTATTTATTATAGTTAAAATAATCTCGTTATATTATTTTAATAACTATCTATTAAAGATAAGATAAATTCATATGAATTACACAAAAATAAAATTCCACTGTAAGAATTAAAAACGAGTTATGATCATTAGTGATTTATGTTTTGATTCTTGATGTATCATGTTATTTTCAAAAATGTACAAACATTTAATGCATATCTACATTAAAAATTAGGTTTGTTACTAAATATCAATGAATAAATGTTGAATAAATTAAATTATTTTTAATTGAACAATTATGATCATAAGAGGTTTCACCTAAAGGTACTTGTTGCTATATATATAAAAAATATTTATCAGTGTAAATTGTAGTTATTAAAATATTTTTATCTAAACATTGAGCAATTTTTATTAAATATTTTCTGACAGTTGAAACTTATTAGGTATCCTTAATAATAAATAATGCATTCTAATATAGGTACCTCTGAGGGTATTTATATATGTAATTATGCCTTAAAATACTCCCTCCCAAATTGTTCTAAATTAAATTCTATTTCTATTTCTTAAATCTTGGCATTTTTGTTGTTGTTAAATTAATTGCAATATGTAAATAGCATAAATAAGTTCATAACTTATTTTATCTTAATTTTCTATGTTGATAGTAGATAGTTTAATTTAAACAATTATCCTTCTTCATCAAATCGATTTCCAAAAATATAGGTTCTGGAAGAAAAAAACTGTATTAAATGATTAAGTTTCATATGTACCTATTTTTCTATATTTCAGATTGAATTTAACTTCTTAAACATGAATAGTATTGGAGCAATGAACTCTCCAGTGAAGCAGCCTTTGCCAACCGTATTGGCTCCTCCTACTATTTCAAATCCTTCCAAAGTACAACAACCACCGAATTTAACTCCACTTAATTTAAATACTTCTCAATCAGCTCAACCTTTGAGTCTTGTTAATGAACATAAAAATGTTCCGTTTGTCATCCCTTCGCCTATTATGACTTCTGTTGAAAATAATATTCCAAAATCTACTGCTTGTAATGGTATACCTGATATAAAACCAATTGGTGAGAAAATTGAAGAAGCCCTGCCTAAAATTGAATCACAAGTACTGCACAATCAGGTAAATAATTCCGTCAATGTTAAAAGTGTAAATGAATCTCCCCCTTCTGAAGTGAGACCTCAAGTATCTGAAGTTGAAAATCTGTCTCAAAAGAAAGATGATAAGAATAACTTGCCAATTGTTCAAACCGATAAAGTAGTTTTGCCAGAAGTCATTGTAACATCTATAAATGATCCTTTGAAATCTGAAGAAATACATAAAACTGAAAATGTAGTTTCCAAACCAAAAGAAAATGATACAAAAGTCAGTCAAGATTCCCCTGAAATTAAGAATACATCAGAAACAAACCAAGGCCTAACTGTTTCTCCTGAAAAAACTGAACAAGCACCTGTAAACACTTCAAAAGTTGGTATACGCCGAAAAAGAGAACATAAAGTAAGTCTTTATTATTAAATATTCTTTAAATAGTTAAGATGAGAATGACCAACATGTTGTCACTACTATGAAAATAGTATATTCTAATAATATTTGTGGGGAATTGACATATCATTAATAGCTTCATTGGGTATACTATATATGTTTTTTATTGTATGTAGTTATTCTTTGTACTTTTGCAAATTAAATACTATTTTATAATTATCCATCTTAAATAATAAAATAAATTATCTAACTTTAAATTTTATTATTTTAAGCAACTAGAAGAAGAAGATGAGAAAAAGGAAAAATCATTGAAAAAGGATACACCTATTGAAGAAATAAAATCAAAGCGTACTAGACTTCCTACACAACCTTTCCAATTATCATTGTTGCCAGAAATGCATCATATCTCCAAAATTTCTGAAAAAACTCCATCTTCAAAAATCAATAGTGACAAGTTAACCGTGTTTTACAAGTAATATTTAAGAACCCTTTTTACACTTTTATAGATCATTTAATTTATTATATTATTCAAAAATATCAATTTTACTTCAGGAATGAATTTTTGGCTGTACGAAATGAAGAAGGAGGATTTTACTTATGCCAAGCTATGCAAAATATCCATAGAGCTAGCCGCCGCATTCGTATAAGGTGGCTAACTCAACATCCAAATGATGAGTTTACACCAGACTTTTATGACCATACAGGTAAAATAAACATTTTGAATTACTATCTTATTTGTATATTTTTTTTAGGTTTTCTTCTTAAAAAAAAATACTATATATAGGTCATTTATGTAATTCTTCTTTTCATTATATACATAAACAGTAGAACCTCTTTATAAGCCCCCCCCCTATTAAACAAAATCTCCTTATAATGAAAAATCGCAATAGTCTCTTTAGTCAGTTAATTTTAGTCTCCGTATGATGGAAATATCAGTAGGTACTGAGCAATTTTGTCAATGTTTTGCTGAATATCAGAGGTTAGACAAATGAAAGCTATCAATTTAAAAATAAGTCATTCATGTAAGTAGGTTAGGTGCCAATTACTAATTAATTGTTGTCTAGTAGAATTATTAATCAATAATGGATTTGAAAGTAAAACTCATTTTAATTATTAATGATTTATTAACGCTAAATAAATAATTATTTAATACTTACAGAGTTTGATTGTATTTTGACAAATATAACATTAAAAAAAATTCAGAAAGAACAATGGAAACTTCCTGAAAAAGAAAAGTTAAGAATTGAAAATATTTTGAAACGATCTATTGATGTTGAAAAAGGATCAGAAAAACCTTCTGTAACTGAAGAACATCCAGATGGGTGTATGTATTATTGTTCTAATTAAAACATTTGGTTCCAGTTTGTTGTATCCCCGCTTTGTTACTTGAAAACGTTATCGTTACACCACTCAGGTTTATTATCTCGCCAAACTCCATAATAATAAATAGTATATAAACGATAATACATTTTTTAAATTGTATAATAATGATGAATTTTAAAAAAGGTTCTTTAGTACCATTAAATTATTAGATTATTTATACGATATGTATATTATTTGGATGGTGATAAGATAACGAACCAGAGTGGCTGGGGAATAAAGTTTTCACATGCCCAATGGAGGATATAACAAACCAGCACCAAACATTTTATTTAATAATTATTATTGCTAATTATTGTTAAGTGCTTATTTTTCAATCCCTATAATTAAACGATGATTATTTTAGTGGACGTAAGTTTGTTCAAAGATGAAGCTCAATTAACGAAGAAAAAAGGTAGCAAAAAAAGCGTAACTGTAAAAAGGAAGGTGTCAACTGATGAACAACAACCAGTGAAAAAGTCTTCTAGATTGTCTAAGAAAAAACCATCTTATGATTTTGGGCATTCGTCGTCTGAAAGTGACGAGAATGATGATGAAGAAGACAATAGTAACCAAAAAAAGTCTTCAAACAAGAAAGTTTTGAAAAAAAAAGTTATTGCAAAAGAACCTGCTAAAAAAATTATTGGCAATGCTTCAAAACCAAAACAAGCATCAGTTAGAAAAACACAAACTCCTGTTAAACCGACTTATGTACTGGCATCAGTTTCATCAGCAGTGAAAAAAAGAGAAATAATTGCTACAAAACAAAAAAAAGAAAACAGTGTTACAGATAAAAAGTCTTCCAAGAAAGTAGAACCAAAATCTCCAGCTGTCCCACTACCTTCAGAGAGATCATCAAAAACTAGAAGTAAAATTTATTCTCAATATAATTTTAATCAAACAATTAGATCCATATTAATTTATGCTTCTGAAAAATTCAGTGGTGAAAATATTAGTATATTTGGCTCAATTTCAATTCTTTTCATGTTAAACCCATGTGTTACAGTCTTACAAACAACATAGTTAATGTATTCAGCCGACCCAACATTGTATTGTTAGCTTTAATATCAGAATTAATTCACAAAATTAAATGTTAAGATATTAACTAAGGCACCTCAAAAACTTTAGTGATTAAATATTAGAGAGAATTTCACGGAATTCACAACTGATATTTTACATGTAGCTCACTTTAAAATTAAATCATCCATAAAAGCTTATGAGATGCCCTAGTTAATGTTCTTACCCAAAAATTAAATAATTATTTACTAATATTAAATCAAAAACACAAAATTTGTTCTGCTAAACCCAATTATGCTATTTATATGTAGAATTTTTTAATAACAATTTAAATTTTTTTATAGATGCAGGAAATGCGGTTTCTGCCAAAATAACCACTGCTGGTATTGGAATAGTTAAAAATAACCCCAACGATCGAAAAACACTAAGAAATCGTAAATAATAGACATTATAACACACTTTGTAAGTAATATAGTCTACTACTTGTTTGAACAATATTTAAAAATTCATTTTGTTAATAATATTATCGATCTAACTTAATTCTGATTTCTTGAGAGACTACATTTTTATGTTAAACACACTTACCATATCACAAATTTGTTTTGATGTGTTGATTCACATTCTTGTTTAACTTTTATAATTTTATACTTATTTTCGTTTATTATTTTTTATTAAGTTTTGAATAACTTAGGTAGCTAATAGTATTACATTTCAAAATAATCGAAAATATTTATTAGGTAATTCAAAGTTAAATGGATATTTCTTTTTGTAACAATAGTTCTTAATGGTTTATTGTTTATAAGATATGTATCAATCTTAATTATTTCCTGATGTCAATGCCAATATTTAAAATTATATTGTTACTTAATACTTAATAATTGTATCTTTATATGAAACAAGTTAATGGTATTTTAAGTATCATCTCTTAATGTTTTTGTGAGTTATTCCATATACTTTAAAAACTAATGTTGTGGAAAACTATATTTTTCATAATGCATTGATTAAGTAATATGAATAATAATGTTTAAAATACAATTGATTCTTGTTCTTATCACATATTTCTTATTCTCTTTTTATGTTCTGATTAAATATATTTTACATGTTCAAGTAGCAGCCACTTAATTTTAATAATTATTTTTTGGCATTGGCATCTGTCTATAAATGTATGTAAACATAATTTATTCAGTTACAAAGCTATAATTTTCTAATTGATTATTTAATTTATATTCTTTTTTTGTTTTGATTTTTTTAAAAATTATTTTAGTAGAATTATGGATGTGCCCCAAGTTCTTGTAAATGTATTGACTTTGTATTCCTTACGCACAAAAATTTCTAGTTTAAAAAATAATAATTGTTTACTTCCATGAAAACTTATTGTTCCAAATGTTAATTTATTACTTACAGTACAATTCATTAAATATTATAATTAAAAATTATACAGACAAATTGTAAGCTCTTTATAATAATGTATTGTACATAATATGAAATAGGATAATATAGCTAATATACATAGATATATATTTATATAAATATACATATTAATGAATATTAGATTACAATTTTTAAATCTTATATTATTAGTTATGTAAGTTAAGAAAAAAAAATGATTGTTTTGAGTGACGTGGTTTTGCCATATTTGCAATATCATAATATTTTTATTAATTTACAAGTGTAAATTTTATTGTGTCTGTGTGCTGTATATAACCATGAATCTATTCTGGTATTGATGTCAACCTGCTTTGATATTGTTTGTAAATCTATTGATTTTATTTTTTATTTAATACCAATAGTAGGGGTATGCACATTAGAAAAACATATTTATTTACCAACAACTTTTTAATTATAAAAAATATATATATACAAGATAAAAATTATTATTGTAAATATTATAAATTCGATTTATTATTTTAAGTGGATTTAAAAATATATTCAAACAATTTATTGTACATATTTGTGTTTTAAAATGAATGAGTTTATTTTTTTATCACCAAAGAGTCCAAATTGAATTTGGATACCCTAGGAACATTTCTAATAGTTAATGATATACGTTTATTTCTTGTCAGTGGAATTCCATTTTGTACATTTGATCCGCAAAATGTTATATTGGATATTTTATCTTCAATGATATCATTGGTATTCTCCTCAATGCCATGCATGTATTCAGTATACATTTTATCCTTTAAAATTAGTAGACTTCGTCTTTGCAACAATATACTGTATACTTTCTCACTTGATACAACTTCTTTGTCATTCTTAAAATGATAAAAACATTATTAAAAGAATAATAATTGTAATTAATAAAAAGATCCTTATTGTATTATAAATCAAAAATATTAATGCTATTAGGATATATTTTTCTGATAAACACGTATTCTCTGACTAAAATCTCCAATTTTTTCAGAAGAATATTGGCAAACAAAATCTTGCAATTTATTTTATAGTTGTATTTTTTTTTAAAAAAACTAATAAATTATAAATTTATTTATAATACACATGCAGTGTGCAATGGTATTAAATCTAAAATCATGAGAAAAATCTTGTACTACTTTAAATCTATGTAAAATAAAAATGTTAAAAATTATTATTTATGTGAGTGGTTGTGCTATAACAATCAGCTATTTATTGTGATTTATAATTTTGTCCCACTTCTTAAAAATGAGATTTTGTAGACCTGCTGAGAATGTGAAACAGTTTGTCAGTGAAGATTTTGTACATTTTTAAATTTTTAAAACATTATAGTTTTGAATTTATTAAGAAATCAAATCTTATGTTACTATCTTACCTTAAGTGGCTCATAAAAATTCAGTACGGTATGAGATCCACAGCTAATAGTACTTATAGTAGGGAAAAATAAACTTCCATCTAAATGTGGCTAAAAAACAACGTTGATTACCAATTAATAATATTTTATGTTGATCATAAATTTATACCATGATTCCTTGTCCGGGTAAATATTCATTAATTAACACGTGGTTTGGTCTGTTAGTCCTAGGAAATACTTGTAGACTTTCTACTTGGTCGATAAATCCTTTTAACCACTATATAAAACACGTTGCAGTTAAAATTATACTATGTCATTGCAAATAATTAAGTGAACTTTACATCAGGAATTTTTTCGGGTATGAGTCCTTTGGCATGAGGTATACCTCCCCAATTTTGAAGTCTTCTATTTTTCAATTGACACCATTTCGGCTTTGGTGCACCATTTACCTTGTCCAGTATGTATGATTCTTGTTCTTCAGTTATAAAATTTGGTATATAATAGGCTGCATCATCGACCTTAAAGCAAAGACAGAAATTAAAAATTAAAACTTAGTGTGCTGTATCTAATAAAACACCACTACATAATTATAATTACAGTAGTCAACTTATAATCCTTCAAATCTAAATGTTGCATTTCAAATTTGTATTATAAATATATGTATCAGTAATCCACAAGATCACAAATCACGCACAGGATTCATGATAAAATATTGTCGTGCAAGGAACGATAAATTGAAATTGAATTTTGATATTTATTCACTATTGTATAAACTTCCCGAATGATTATGCTGTGTTTATGAATTAAGATAGCTGATAAGATTTAAAATAGTTTGTATCACCCACAGACCACGGCTTTAATCTCTCTTCTATGCCTCCTACACATAGATAATAAAGATATGGATAGGCCACGCCTATGTTAAATACATTTGAGGCCGCGTTCCCGGAGGGGAAGGCAATTGAGGCTCCTTTATATTGATAGTCGATACTCAATATAGGTATACTTTATTTGGCCTCAATTGTTCCCCTCGAAGACCGCTGATAAGACCAATATGGCCTATCCATATCTTTATTATCTATGCTCCTACACTACACCGTCCAGATAAGGGACTCCTATAATATTTATGTTATCAGTGAAGCTCGCGTAGCAGTTAGTTGGCAAATCATTTCATTCATAATACAAAAAGGGTTAGGAATGACATCGTTTTTAATGTTTAAATGAAAATAATAATTATCTTATGATGTAAAATATTTTTTTTCTAAGCATCAAGTTTAGAAATAATAAAATTCAATTTAACATAATAAATAATTACCATATAATGTCAACCGACGATCAGGCATCAACTGATAGCGGGGGTTAACTTTTTAGAACTTTTTTATATACTAGTACTAGTGATCTAATGTAGAAATCTGTGAAGTGTGTATAGCATGGTTGAAATAGGTGAAATGTTCACCTATTCTGTGGTATTGATTTGAATACGAGTGTCAAACATTGAAGTGGTTGAACCACAGAATAGAGATTAACCGGGTTTCCGGGTCGCATAACAAATGTATTAATTTAATGGACCAATCATGGGCCACTAATAATGTTTAAAGTACCATTAGCTCACTACTATTCATTCGTTAAGTATTTATAGTTTAGTGATTGTTCATGTAACCCGGCAAAATAAAAAACAAGAGAATATATAAACACGTATGTTCCGCTAGCAATATTTGATAAGACTGTGCAGGGTTCCCAAAAACGTCTAAAATACACAATATCAGACAATTCAGTCGTTGACCAATAGATGTCGCACAAAAACAGAATAACAAAAAATGAACGAAATACTGAACACTAAATTTAAAAAATTAATAATAAATACTTACAAGTCCGTCGCCACTTTCTAAGTAGTATGCAAATTTTTGTAATGAACTGGACAACCAGAATATGCAATCAGATCGGGGCGAGTCGGCCCGCGAAAACTTCGGGAGCCCCGGTAGGATGCGTAAAATACGCGTAAAATACGCGAACAGAACAATGGACTTAGACATTTTTTTAAAAATACTTACAAGTCCGTCGCCACTTTCTAAGTAGCATGCAAATTTTTGTAATGAACTGGACAACCAGAATAGAAATAGTTTTTAGTTGCAGCATTAACAAAAGTAGTTGATATTTATATGACTGCTTGGCTCTATACTGATACATTGCTAGTGAACGATACGGTTGTTAATGATTTAGAAGAAATCGACGCATTCAACTTGAACTTTCTAATTGATGAAGACCATGATTTGCCATATGCATTACCAAAACA